CAATGGAGCTGTTTGAATCTCCCAGAGCATTTAAAAATGTCAGTGACCTCCAGTTCCTCTTACTTCTATGAAATGAATTCTCTGGAGCTAGATGAGCCCACATCAAGATAGACAGCCCACTAGTGGTCAGGATACAAGATCTTAAATTGAGCGTCTGTTAGCCACCAGGGAAGCACGTTTAAAAAGTTAGAAATGGTGTTTCTTCTCATCATTTAAATTGTCATGCCTTTTTAAGTCTGTTTTTGTGAATATAAGTTCTTAATTAGTTCTTAACCTCCTCAGCTAACAGTTACTGAAATGTAGAAAAAGCTAATGTGACGCTAGGACTGTGAAACAGTCAGTCCAAACTCATTCTGTGCCAATTCCTGCTATTTTTAGGCTCAGATGAATGTTCTGTGAAAAGTTAAATGGTCTCTTTGATAAGAATGGAATCCTGGTCATTTTCAGCAATTAACTTTTTCTTTTTTTCTGGCTGTACCTTGCGGCGTGTGGGATCCTTGTTCCCTGACCAGGGATCTAACCCGTGCCCCCTGCAGTGGAAGCACAGCGTCTTGACCACTGGGCCACAGAGTTTTAACCAGTCCCTCAGTCATTTTCCAATTCTAATGGGGAAAGTAATTTAGACAGATTGCATGTGTGTGTGTGTTTGTGCGTGTGAATGTGTGTTTGGAACTCCTACATGCGGCTTCCCCTCTGCAGCCACAGGACAGGGTAATAAAGGATGTCCTGTGCTTTACATTCAGAATTGAATGTTTGACAGTATGAGGCTTGAAGTCAGGCTGTCAGGGGGGACATTCTTCTAAATCCTGGAGACCCCATCACACACTGTGGCCGTGGGAGGCTGGTTCTGAGCTCCATTTAGAGGGAGGGATTCATGTTCAGGTTCTCACTGCCAGGAAGAGGGATGCCTCAGGGTGACCTTGTAACGAGAGTCACTTTCTGTTTGCCTCCACCAAAAAACAGAGGCTCTGATAGAAGGTGCCCACGGGAGCTCCCTACTGAGCTGGACTCCCCATGAGGACAAGGAGGGGTGGTCCTAGGGGCCACAGATTCCCACCACCTCCTCTTGAGTCCAGGCCCTCTGGAATTGGAGGAAGCTCCCATACTGGAGAGGGTGACCTGATTTTCTGAGTCCACCAAGTCAAGCTGGCTTCACCCAGAAACACCTGGAGAGGACATTTAATATGGGCGTTTCAGACTTGGTCAAGTTGTGTGTAAAAGTCACAGTCACCCCTGCACAGAGCAGATCACAAGAGCGCCTCTGAGCAGAGGTGGACGCACAGGTTGGGCTGAGCACGGCCTGCCTGGGCTGGGGAGCAGGGTGGGGCTGGGCCTCGGAGGCTGAACCCCTGAAGAAAGGGCATCAAGGAAAAAAGATGGCACTTCTGACCAGAGTCCTGAGGGTGCAGAGGTCACCGGAGGGCGTCCCAGGTGCCCCCGTTTTGGACAGTGGTTCGCTGAAGACTGGGAAGTGCCATGACCATGCCCTCAGCTGGTGCTACACTGTGGAAACTGCTGTGGAGCGAGCTAGTCAGTGCTGGACTGGTTAGTGCTGGACTGGTTAGTGCTGGGCTGGTTAGTGCTGGGCTAGGTAGTGCTGGAGTGGATCGTGCTGGGCTGCTTAGTGCTGGACTAGATAGGCTGGAGTGGTTGGTGCTGGGCTAGTCATGCTTGGCTAGTTAATGCTGACCTAGTTAGTGGTGGGTTGGGTAGTGCTGGGCTGAAGGTGCTGGACTAGGGCTTCCCTAGTTGCTGACCTAGTTAGTGGTGGGTTGGATAGTGCTGGGCTGAAGGTGCTGGACTAGGGCTTCCCTAGTCACTGTCATTGTTTCCATTGTTTCCCTGTCTGTTTGCCATGAAGTGATGGGACTGGTATGTGAACCAACAGTACGTGAACTGAGAACTTCAAGATGTTCAGGCTGGATTTAGAAAAGGCAGGGGAACCAAAGATCAAGTTGCCACCATCTGTTGGATCATAGAAAAAGCAAGAGAATTACATGAAAACATCTACTTCTGCTTCACTGACTATGTTAAAGCCTTTGATTGTGTGGATCACAACAAACTGGAAAATTCTTCAAGAGATGGGAAAACCAGGCCACCTAACCTGTCTCCATGTATGCAGGTCAAGAAACAACAGGTAGAACTGGACATGGAACAGCAGACTGGTTCCAAATTGAGAAAGGAGTTCATCAAGGCTGTGTATTGTCACCCTGCTTATTTAGCTTATATGCAAAATATTATCATGTGAAATGCTGGGCTGGATGAAGCACAAGCTGGAATCAAGATTACTGGGAGAAATATCGATAACCTCAGATATGCAGATGACACCACTCTTATGGCAGAAAACAAAGAAGAACTAAAAAGCTTTTTGATGAAGGTGAAAGAGGAGAATGAAAAGGCTGGCTTAAAACTCAACATTCAAAAAACTAAGATCATGGCATCTGGTACCATCACTTCATGGCAAATAGATGGGGAAACAATGGAAACAGTGAGACACTATTTTCCTGGACTCCAAAATCACTGCAGATGTTGACTGCAGCCATGAAATTAAAAGACACTTGCTCCTTGGAAGAAAAGCTATGACAAACCTAGGCAGCACATTAAAAAGCAGAGATGTTACTTTGGCAGCAAAGGTCCGTATAGTCAAAGCTGTGGTTTTTCCAGTAGTCATGTACAGATCTGAGAGTTGGACCATAAAGAAAGCTGAGCACCAAAGAATTGATGCAACTGTGGTGTTGAAGAAAACTCTTGAGAATCCCTTGGACTGCAAGGATATCAAGCCAGTCAATCCTAAAGGAAATCAGAATCAGTCCTGAATATTCTTTGGAAGGACTTATTCTGAAGCTGAGACTCCAATACTTTGGCTCCCTGATGTGAAGAGCTAGCTCATTGGAAAAGACGCTGATGCTGGGGAAGATTGAAGGCAGGAGGAGAAAGGGATGACAGAGGACGAGATGGTTGGGTGGCGTCACTGACTCGATGGACATGAGTTTGAGCAGGCTCTGGGAATTGGTGATGGACAGGGAAGCCTGGGGTGCTTCAGTCCTTGAGGTCACAAAGAGTTGGACACGACTGAGCAACTGAACTGTACTGAGGGCTCCCTGGTGGTCCATACAGTGAAGAATCTGCCTGCAATGCCAGAGACCTAGATTCGGTCCCTGTGTTAGGAAGATCCCCTGGAGAAGGGCATGGGAGAGTCCCTCATTGGGATAGAATACTGAAATGGGATTCTTGCCACTCCAGTATTCTTGCCTGGAGAATCCCATAGACAGAGGTTGCTGGCAGGCCACAGTCCATGGGGTCACAAAAAAGTTAGACATGACCAAGCGACTGTACTTTCAGGTAATGCTTGGCTAGTTAGTGCTGGGCTGCTGTGCTATCCTGGTTAGTGCCTGACTAGGTAGTGCTGGACTAGTTGGTACTGGGCTAGTGAATGCTGACTAGACAACCACCTTAGCACCTGTGTCCCCCTTCCTCTCCCCACAGTGTGAGTCAGTGTCCTGCCTGCCCCATGTGTGCCTCCTGTTTACTGTACACCCCCCTCCAAAGCCCCCAAGTGTCACTCCATCAGCTCTCATGGAGACAGCATTGTGGTCATGTGGCTGTGGTGCCAGGTCACGGGCTGTGACCTGATCTTCAGGTACTGTGTCCACTTCTTCAAGATGTATTCCTGGGAAAAGTCAATGTTATCAGTTTGGCCCTGAGGATAGTCACCAGGGATCCCCTGGCATCCTCTTCTGCACATTTCTGTGGCTTATCTGTTGGCAGTAATTCCTTAGAAGAGTAGCCTGGCAACAGTGCTTTCAACTGTCCCCTGAGACAGAGATGCACACAGGGACACCCATTAGGTGGATGTTTTGATGGATCAGGCTAGCACTTTCCCCTCTGGGTGTTCATAGGCAGAAGGAACACGAGAGGCTTCTCTGGTCAAGTGACTTTAACTGCAGGACGTGGCAGAACTTTCTCATGATCACGTGCGTTTTCGTCCTGCATGTGGGCTCTATCGTGTGCAGAATTGCCCCAACTTTAAGGCATTATAAGGGTGTGGATAGGAAGGGAGCCATTATTCCAAAGGAAAACTGCTGCGAACATTAATAATGTCTGCTCAAGTCTGTTGTTTGCTCAACTGGACCCTGAGCTGGTTGAGGGCAGCGCTCAGTCTTTGCAGCACCCCTGGTCCCCCTCCACTGGCTGAATGACTTGGTCAGAGAGGGTGGCGCTTGCTTCTTGGCTGAGGATGCTGAGGGTTTGTAATCAGGGAGGAGGGTTGAGGAATGGTTGCAGCCTCGTCGGTGGATGATTTAAGACAGAAGTTCAGCTTTTGCCCTAATTGAGTTGAGAAAGCATAATCATAAATTTCCCAGAGAGATCTCTTCAGTCGCAAGTTCTGTTTACGTCTGTGCTTTGTAGTTGCCTTATGTTGCTGTAGCCTCTTGGGAAAGCCTTTGCATGACTTTAAGCTTCCTTTTGCTTATCAAATAAGGTATTTCCTGCACCTTTTACTACCAAACTGTGCAGGTAAACACAGGCTCTTCTTTCACATTTTCTTGTGACTCATTCGTGATAAAGGCTTCTCAGCTTAGATCCTAGAAGATAGACTCAAGGTACCATCCCAACAGCCTCCATTTTCAGGCTCTAATTGCATGTCATGTTTTAAAAGCCATCACAAAATTGGTGGGCCATTTGCCTTAGTGTGGGAGCCCCCTGAGTGCAGCTTTCAAGGCACTTGGAGGACCCATTAGGGACATACATTAAACAGAACTGCATTACCATCCTAGGAGCAGCATATATAATCAGCACACTTACCTGATTAACCTTTTTGATGAAAAATGTATGTCATCAGAATTTTTCAGTACTGTTTAATTTGTTAGATCGTTCTGGGCGTGATGACTATGCAGCATCAAACGACCTTATTAGAAAAACACTTGCAGTGGTTGATTAGATGCCTTTCTCTACCTGAATGATAACCACACGTCTTTTATTTATTTGTTCTGAAACAGGTTTTGCCTGGCATTCTGCAGAAGCATTGCTGTATCTTACCAGACAGGAACACAGGTAAGTGCATTTGTTTTTCTGATTTGAGATTATTGGTTCTATATCTGTGCAAAACTGAGAAATATGATTGCATAATTAGATATCTTGATTTTTTTTAAGGTAGCTATTTCATATATTGACTGAAACAAGCAAAATAAATAAATAAATAAATACATGATTCGGTTCTGTAGTGACTTATGACCAGAACTCAGAGATCTGTTTTTATTTGATAAGGGAAATAGATGATTGTTGCCTTGAATTTTAAGGGAAGCCAGTTGTCTTATAAAGTTGAATATATTAATATTAATTTCAGTTGTTTCTTTTGTGGACGATATTTATTAAGGCAAACCACTATTGTTGGTTAGCATGGAATGGATTTAGAGTCTGTTTGCAGTCGAGGCTTTCCTTGCTCTCAGGGTGGGACTGGCCAGTTGTTATGTTCTTAAAACCTTGAGGATCTTCGTGAATAAAACAACAGTATGCGTGTCTTAGAGTGGGAGATGCTATGACTCTGTGGTTTCTTGTTGTCGGGCAGACGTATGTGGCTGGCAGTTGTAATTAAAGTGGTTTTCATTGCTTTTAAGGAAACATGATGGAGGGAAAAGCCTGAAAAATAATCCTTTGGAACTTTCTTGTTTTAAATTTAAACAGAGAATAATTGACATGGAGTGTTATCCTATAGGTCTACATCTCAGTCACTCTCCTGTGCTTCTAATTTCCAGCATTTTATTCAGAGACTCAAGTCCTGAGGAAAAGGTAGAGTTGCTGGTTCATTTGTGCACACAGTCTTACTAGAGTTTATTCATTTCTAGAATCAGTTGTCTCATGTCTGTCTGCGTCTGGGATACTCTTCTTGGGTATGAAACGGAGGCTTCTGACGCTTCCTCGTGTATTTTCTAACTGAACAAAATGAATCCTAATGGACTCTTCTGTGATAATTAGAAGAGTGCAATCTACTGGGATTTTCTCTACTTTTATCATAAATAGTGTCTTGACTGGAGGTTATGTTTAATGCGGTCTCATTCGTACATGACAAGGCATTGTTTATACTGTGCCTTCCAGTGTAAAATCCTGAGTATTCTGTAAAAATAAGATCTTCATTTTTTAAACTTATGATTATGGATAGATTATATTACTAACTATAATTTTTCAAAAAAGTTCATAGACCTGTCTCTCTTTTGGTTTTGTCCAATCAGTTACATCTTAGCTGAAAATTTGAGCAAATTTACTGCTTATAGGGAAGTTTGTTTAGAACATGGTTAGATTTTTTTTTTAATGAGAAATATGTTTTTGCACATCAGCTCCTATACTCATTAACTTATTCACAGCAATGGTGGTAGCAACTGAATGTTCTCTCAAGGTATGATTACATTTATCTATGAAATCTTGTAACTCTTTGAGTGCACAATCTTAGGTAAGGGTTCTAAGGAGAAGGTAATGAGAACAGAAAGAGGAGGGAATAACATCTGAGTCCACAATATCTGACTTCTCATGAGGTAAAAGTGATAGGTGGTTCTCTTCCATTATAAATTATCAATATGTGTTAGCCTTCTGGAAAAGGGGGTTCCTCACTGATACATAGAAGTAGTTTCTACATCACTGATAGAAATTCACATAAATTGAGGGGCTACTTCAAAAAGTATATGATAGAATTTAGGGAAGATAGCTCATTCACAGTGGTTGATGGAGTTCTCCAACAAGCAGGCTCCCAAATGGGAAGCGTTGGTCCACATAGCAGTCCCTCGGTAGCCTTGTCATGGCCTATCAGTAATTGGCTGTGATTTTTAGAGCACAAATAATGATAGGGTATTTATTGAGCCTGTTTCTGCTTCCTGAAAGTCTTGGTTAGTAATGAAAAATGTGAACAAGTCACGTGCAAAGAAACAAAGATTTTGCAAACAGTGTCCATTGACAGCAGTGAGTACAACACAGTTTAAGGCGGAATTCAGTTTCCAGATTAGTTTTTCTCTTCTAGGTGAGTCATTGTTGATTCTGAGATGCAAAAAAGAATAGTGATAGAATTAATAAAAAGTACTGTTCTGTGTGAATCTAAATGGATTTTAAATATTGGGGTGAGTTTCCTATATTTTTAGACAGTTCATTATATAAAAAGTCTCAAGTTAATACAGAAAATATTTCCAGTTTGAGATTCTTGGTTTGTGTTTTGTACAAATCCAAGTAGCCAGCCTCTAGAACTAAGAAAGCTTCCTTTCCATTGTGACTTGAGTGTTGAGGCCATTTGTGGGCAATTTTCTTGAAAATATGTTTACATGATGCAGTGTTTAGCTTTGAAGTCAGTGCTGAGGACCTGAGGCTGTGAACTTAGGTGTGGAAATGGGAAAGAATCATGTCAAGTGGGATGAAAGGGGAGTAGCTTTTGGAGGTGAAATATTTGAAAATTCTGGGTTTTCCTACATAATTCAATCTAATATATCTAATTAAGTTGCTTAATTATTTAGGAAATGTTTGGAAATTTTTTCAGGCTGAGACATAGTGGTTGTTGCTCTTGTATCTTAATGGCAAATAGGGTCTTTAGGAACTTGAATATGGTTTGTTTCACCTTTGTGGTTTTATAGAAGACTTTTCAAACTTTTGGTGAAGAAGATCAACTTTGGCCTAGGTAGAGGGCTTCATCTTGGGATGATACAGATATTCTTCAGATGATACAAATATTCTGTTATGGTCACACAACAATGTGAATGTACTTAATGCCACTGAATCGAACACTCAAAAATGGTTCAGGTGGTAAATTATATGAAAGATCAACTTTGGGGTGAATCATGAGCACTGAGATACTTTCTCTTGAGTGGGTGGGTCGGAGCTTGGATCCTCTGTGTGAAGCACAGGGTGATTCATCTTCCTTCTGCTGCTCCGTGTCTCACAGGTCCGAACATGACTTACAAGTGGCCACTGTCACGTGATGCCTCAGCTGTGCCTTCCACAGGCGAGACCGTAGGTCCTGAGTGTGTGTCCCAGACAGGCTGCCTTTGACGAGTGAAGGGTCTGGTCTTAGTCCTTGGACTAGGGATCCCCAACCTCCAGGATCTGATGCCTGAGATGACCTGAGGCAGAACTGATGGAATAACTATAGAAATAAAGTGCATAATAAATGTAATGCGCTTGAATCATCCCCAAACCATTCCCCACCCCACCCCCATCCGTGGAAAAATTGTCTTCCACAAAACCAGTCCCTGGTGCCGAAAAGAATGGGGACAGTTGCCTTAGATGGTCTGATTCTGTATCAGTTTGTCCATGCTGTTCCTTTGGACTCTTCATGCCCTTTGGGAAAAATCAAACTTAGGCAGGAGTGAGCTTAATAAATTGTTTTGCTGGGGTGACACAGTGGGCTGGGGTTCTGCCCCTGAGCTTGATGATGTTACAGTTACCCGCCCACCTATCACAACACAGCCCGCTCGGCTGGCACAAATAATTGGAAGTTATGAGAATGACTGATTTTGTAGTAAGGCAGCCATGGTGCTTAACTGTGCAGTTTCATAACAACAACTCAGTAGTGAAGTGTCCAGTGGATTAAGCATGTGGCAGTATTTGATGTTTGAGATGAATTTATAGCTCCACAGGGAAAACAGAATGATTGTGAACCAAGTTGTGTATAGGAACTGGGTGGAAAGATTTTGAGTTCTTTCCACATATTCTGTGGCACTGGTCTTTGTGTTTGCCAACCTGTGGCATGATGTCCATGAAGACTCAGTGTGACTCTCACCTTGGGTTCCTCCCGGTGATGTGCTGACTGGTTCTTAACTGCCAGCCTCCCATGCACGGTATAAGGGTGGCAGGAAGCCTGGCCCGTGTCTGGGGTGCATACACCACACCTGGGTACTGGACGTGGGTTGAGGAGGGACCTGATCATCCCCAGGCCCCAGGGGCTGATGAGCCTGGCTCCAGTGTGCTCCTGGCTCTTGCTCTCGCTCCTGTGTCTGACTCCTGAAGGGTTCGTTTAGGATGCGGCCAGCAGGCACTTGTCCATTCTCTTGGGGCTGGTTGTCTCCTTGTGTGTGCTGGCAAAATAAAATGTGGGGTTAACGCAAGCACCTCTGTAACTGAGCTTAATGTTAAGAAGCCTCCATAGGCCGAGTAAGCACTCTTGCATTTCTATTAGAATGCTGAACCCATGTGCTCCATCAGGCAGGATTTGGATGCCTGTGGGCACTGAACCCAATTATATGGTGTTGAGCTGCAAGCAGGGCTGTTGACGTGTGGACAGCTGCTGGGAAGTTTGCATATTGAGGTCAAAGGCAAAGGGGACGTAACGGTGGAAATAGTGGAAACGTTTGCTCTGGGGAGTCCTAAACCCCCTAAGTTTCTTTTTAGCCGAAGGTTATAAAAAGCCTTTAATGTCACGATGGACAAGTGAAGGGAAATCAGTGAGTGATTTCCTGCTCTCCCTGCCACAGATATGCCTGATGGAGAACTTGTCCCCGATGGCAGGTCCTGTGAGAGTCTGGCAGTGAGTGTGACTGTGGAGGCAAAACCCTGCTTCGTTCTCTTCCACTTGACTTGTGTGCGGTTCTCAGCTCTGTGTAGACAGTGATGTCTGCAGTGTGAATGGTGGGTGTTACACCTTGTGTTTTTGCTGTTTCTAGTTTGTAAGGCTTTCTCACGTTCCTTCCGGTGAGTCCTCCAGCTTCCTCGTGAGACGATCTGCCTGCAGGTCAGTGCAGGGACGAGCCCTGGCACCGCGGGTCAGCGTCGCTGAGGGTCTTGCCGAGACCCAGATGCAGATTCTCACTCTGAGTCAGTTTGTGATTCCATTATGACCTTTAGTAAGTCTTTAACCTTCCCAGTGTCTCCTTCCTGTGAAACACGGTGAAAGCACAGAACAGGGAGGACTGGGAACCCTGATGGGTTGGGTTCCATCAGGGTGGGGGCGGGAAGCTGTCCACAGGGCCCCTGGAGCTTCAGGGCGCAAGATGGGCAAGCACATCAGGTGGGTCTGTTGCTGGAAAGATATTTAGTGAAGTGGAGCAGTTACTTACCTGGGAGGCCTCGTGTTTCGAAACGCCAGGTGAATGGTCTTGTAACTTACGAGGTTAAAAATAAGATGTCTTGTCTTTGGAAGACCAGATCCTTCAAGTGAGACTTTACCCAGAGACTGAAATTATTTATAATACCTTTTTTTCTTTCCAAAATGAATGGTGGTTGTGGGAATGGGGTGCCAGATGATGTGATTCATAAACCAAGAATAGCTCAGGCGTGGCCGAGGGAACAGGGGGAGGAGGCGGGTGTCTCAGCCCTGATGGCGCTCTTCCTCCAGCCCGAGCCTTGATGACCGGCCACCCCAATCCACTGACAGGAGACGGAAACAGTCCTGTGCTTGAAGGGCTTTATTTTGTGCGCTGAAAATGGGTTCATGAGAAAACTGTTCATGCTTGTTAACTGCTGCCCGAGTGAAAGGCTGTGAGTCTGTCGTTTTGTCCTGTACCAGAATTGTCCTACACCATGTGGCTCATCTTCACCTCAGGGCTCTCACAGCCTGGTGGCATCTTGGCACCACGTGGGAAGGTCAGTGCTGCGGGAGGCCAGGACCCAGATTCAGCCCCTGCTCGCCCGGAGCAGGTGCTTCTGTGCAGGGCAGACCTCGGACCCTGTCCACCCTGGGCTGGTGATACACTTCCTCAGGTCAGTGGTCTCTGCCAGGTTAGGTGGAGGCGGGTCTGTGGCTCAAGTCTGAACACTCTGCAGCAGCGCCTGCGCTGAGAGGTTTCCTAGGTGAACCTGGCAGCTGATGTCAGACTTAGTGACACCCAGCTTGTGGGGCAGACTGTGGGCCATGGGCTGTTTATCCCCTAGGTTCTGGGTGGATCCAAGACCACTTCTTCAAGCAGATGGTCAGCTTTGTCTGCAGGGCGCCCAGGGCTCACACTGGGGGTGGGGAGGAGCACCTTCTTCTGGCATCCCCCCCAGGACCTCTTGTGGAGCCCCGTCCCATGTAGAGCGAGCCTGCTTCCCAAGAAGACCTTCCCCAAACCTCTGTTCTTTTTCTTTATCATCATCCCAGGATGGTGCCTGCAAGGTACACATTTCATTTGTGCAGGAAGTTGGGCAAGTCTAAAACTACCAGGACTGTGTCCTGACTTCTGGGGACAGGATCTTGGTCAGTGTTGTGTCTGAAGCAATGGAGAACACGCACAGCGAAGGGCGAGGTGCGGTATGCGCCTAAAACCTCAGTGAGTTCTCTCAAGCTCTAAGCTCTTCTGGACCTTGAATCTCAGTCTCCTCTGAATTCTCCGAGTATTCTATATGTTTATGGGATGTTCAGAAATGTCAGACTTAAGGCTGATTCATGTCAATGTATGGCAAAAACCACTACAATATTGTAAAGTAATTAGCCTCTAACTAATAAAAATAAATGGAAAAAAAATAAAAATCATTTGGTTGCCAGGGGCCCTTAAAATTCTGAGCATTGGTCCCTTCTCATCAACCTTCACTAGGAATTAGGGCCCATGGAGTTGTCTGAAACCTCTGTCAGGAGTGGGCCTTTATATCATCCCTGTTTAAATAGGTTCCATGGCTTGAGTGTCACACGATCCCTTGTGAAAGATGATAAGATGACATCTCTGCTCAGAGCTGCCAGCTAGATGCCACTCTAACGAGAAGTCTGCTCTGTCCTTTGACCTGTGACCTGGTGACCGCCTCTGGAGGGTCATGGTGCCTGTATCCCCAGAGGAGGAGCTGCTCAGGAAGGGAGGACTCCGAGTTCCTGGTGTGGGAGGGGCCCCGGAAGTTACTCCAGCCTCACAGAAGTGCTTGTTTTGAGGTTAAAGGCAGCTTTAATATTTGCCAAAAACAACATTTTAAAATAATGCCAGAAAAAAAAATAAAATAATGCCAGGAAATCATTTTTTATTGTAAAAATACTCAGTGTTTAAAGTTTAAAGCTTTTAAGAAATATGAGTTTATTTCATCTTGTGTAAAAACAATCATTTTTTTCAGGTTTTAAAAGTAGGTAAAAAATATTTCTGAGCTCTGCCTGAATACACAGTGCAGGATTGTGTGTGTGTCTGAGGTGCTGTCATTACCTGCAACCACAGACCGCATGCAGGTGGAATGGTTTTATTGTGTATTTTAATTCCCTCACTTTAAAGTTTGATGGAAGCCCCAGGTGAAGACAGTGATCGATGTTTTCATTGAGAGTTTGCTTATTTAGCAGTGCAGTTTCACTGCTAAGCAGGCATTTGTGGGGCACGTAAATCGAGCTGCAAACACTTGATTTATAGCACGGTCCTCTTGGCACAAGCTACAGTTAATATGCAGGAGTGTTGAGGACTCAGACACAGCCAGTAAGAGAGAAAGAAGGGGTGCTTCCTGAGGCTGGGCTGCTGTGGGCCCTGCTGTACCTCTGAGGGTCCTGGGGGCTGGGGGGAGCTGGTGCCAGGCGGTCCTGTGTGTGCATCCAGTGGGCACTGCTGGGGTGATGTGTGGAGAGCCCAATGCCAGGATGGATTCACCACACCCGCCCCCGGGAGCCTCCTGTTTATTCCTCATTCATGTCCACCACCGATGGAATGAAAACTTCCCACTTTACACACAGTTCTTCACGCTGATGCTCACGTTTATGGTGTTTGATAAGAAGGACACGGTGGTGACTTGAATGCATCTTCTTAAAGGTGTCTGTTGGTAGGATTCCCTGGGGTCAGGACCACCTCTTACCGATTTGGTGCCCCCAGCACAAATACACAGTGGACACTGATGAAAGTGATTTTACATTGAGCTGAACTGAATGTGTGCCTTTATTGGTGACTGGTGTCCTGTCACTGGAGAAGTAGCATAGGGGAAAAGCGTAAGCAGCTAAGGGGAGAGGTTGCAGAGAGTGGTTTCACAACCAAAGTTAAACACACGAACCCGAAGGTCTGAGGTTTGTTAGACACACATCTGAGTAGTGTAGCTGCCGTGTGTAAGGGACTCCAAGGTCGTTCAAGCAAATGTTCCCTTACAGAGGGATGACCTGTCAGTTCCTGGAATAGACCGGTGACTCTGTGGACCATGCGGAGAACTCTGTGTAATGAAATCACAGCGTCAGGCCTGCCTTAATGATGACAGAGGGCATAAACAGCAGTGCTTGCATGTCAGAAGGAGCCCCCTTGGAGACGGCCTTGGTGTTCACTTAGGGCGATGTGTTTGAGTGTCCCACTGGGTCCAGGTCAGCCAACACTCACAGCTCATGGAGTGGTGAGCATGGGCTGTCTCAGTTGTGGGTAGGAAGACAGAAGGACGCTGTCTGTGGATGGTGGGCCTGGAGCCAGCAGCCAGGTGGCCTCAGGGATGGACGCAGAGACACCTCTGGATTCTCCACATGAAGGACAAGAAACCCTGTGGTCTCCGTCTGAAGGTGTGGCCGGCGGGGTTCCCCAGTGACAGAACAAGAGGGTGTATGTGTGTGTATAAATGCATGTATCTTTATGTAGAGAGACTTAGATTTCTTGTGAGGAACTTTGGCTCATGTGATTGTGGGGGCTGACATGGCCCATGATCTGCAGCCTCGTGACCCAGGAGAGTCTGTGTCGCAATTCAGGTCCAAAGGTAGGGAAACCCGCATCCCAATTTGAAGACAGCAGGCAGAGAAGTCTCCCTTGAAGTCTTTGTGTTCCATCCAGGCCTTTGGCTGATTGGGGGGCCCCACACCCACCCCAGGAGGGTTGATCTGCTTTACTTAGCTCACCAGTTCAGATGACAGCCTCCTTCAGGTTGTATGTGGTACATACATGTGCTGTAGGCTGCACAGTGTGTGTGTACATGGTACAGACATGTGGTGTGCATGTGTGTATGCATGGTAAGTGTGCGTGCGCATGTATGTGGCACACACATGCCACATGCTGCGTGACACGTGTGTGTGCATGGCTGGTGCATGTGTACTCACAGTGGGTGCATGTGTGTGGTGCACACATGCTGCATGCTGCACAGGGCGTGTGCACAGTCTCCACATGAGTGACAAAACATTAGTGAGCCCGAGTCTGCAAGGCACCCTGGTGACCGGCTGCTCGCTCCTCCTCCTGTTCCAGGTGAGGAGGCTGAGCCTGCTCAGGTGTCTCTTAGCCAGGGCAAGGCTGCCTGCAGCCCACAGGTCTGAGCTGCCCAAACCCGAGGACACGCCTTCACTCTCTGGCTTTCTTCCCACCTGCCCAGCTTCCCGGGGGCCAGCAGCAGCACCCCACAACCCCATGGGTTCTGTATGTGCTTCCCATGCATGTCACTAAGGCATCCTTCCATGCTGCCATTTTTATTATCCCAACTTTAAAGGTGAAATGGAGACTCTGAGAATTTAAGTAAATGTCAAAACAGTCATAAAATAAGTAGCAAAATTCAAACATTAAGCTGGGTCTTCAGGCTCTAAGTCCCCTGGTCTTTCCAGGGCTCTCACAAACTTCATTTAAATTCCAAGCATTCTTATTGCTTTAATGCAGCCGAAGGCGTTTTTAATTTTAAAAAGGAAGCTCACGATTCCCTTATACTTGTGGCTTTTCTTTTATTGGCTTTCAGGGGCCTGGCGAGTGCACTGCTCAGACTTATGCACACACCAGTGACACGCTATGCACACACCAGTGACACGCTGGGCGGCCCCTCACAGGATGACGACCCGGGTCCCTCGGGCAGAGCCCGCGTCCATCCTGGGCACCAGGCTCCCCGGCAGGCCTTGCTGCTCCTCCACAGGCTGACTCGCAGGGTTTCTGAACGTGACTTTCCCAGGACGGGCTCCTTTGCTTCTGCCCTGTGTTCACTCTTCCTCGCCCTCCGAGGTTCAGCCTGTGGCTCCCACTGCTGTTTCCTTCACGTCTTCTCCCTGTGGTCCCTGCAGAGGAATGAGCCCAGGGCCTGGGGCGCCCCGGCAAGAGGGCCCTTCTCCGTGAAATCCCAAGGCCAAGTGGGATGCAGGTGGGGCAGACCTGGGTTTCACCCTAGGTGCCCTCAGAGCCAGGATCCCAACTCGACCGGCCCGGCACCCTGCCATCCAGGCATCTCGTGCGGCGCCGAGGAAGCAGGTGGCCCGGCTGGCAGCAGCCAAGATCCTCCCAGTCCTGGCCAGGCCCCCAGCCCTCTTTCCGCGCACTCACCTTCCTGCGGATCCCAGGCGTCTGCTCTGTCTCCTCCACCCTTGCTGACCTCCCTTCTCACCTGCGCCCCACACCCAAAGGACTCACACTCCTTAGCACCCGGCGAGCCCTCTCGAAGAAGCATCCTGGACCGTCGCAGGCAGAAGCCAGCACATGGGTGCTCCAGCACACGTGTTCATGTTGCTTCAGGAACAGATTTTGTCCAGGCCCGCGGTGCCCTGAGTTCTCTGCAAATGTGGGGAGCCTCAGATCTCCAGGGAATTTAAAAACCATCACAAGGTGGCTACTTCCTGCTCCCCCCCATTTCTGAGTCTTTCCAGGAGGCAGGAGGGAGGTGGGGGCCTCCTTTGAGACTCCTGTGGAGGCCCTGCTTCCTGGCTAAGTCTCCAGAGACCCAGGGAACTGATACAACCCACATATCAGCAATCTGGAGGCAGTGGCACACAGCCCTGCTCCCTCGAGAGGCAGGTCCTGGCGATCCAGGTCTGGCAGGTCCTGGTGACCCTGGTCCAGGGAGTCCGTGCAGCTCAGAGACTTAGTTCTTCCCTCTCCACGTGTCCTGCACTTGCGTGTCTGTCTGGCTGCAGGACTCCCCTTCTTTCACTACCCCATCCCAGTGAGATCCCTTCTGTGGTCTTCCTTGGGGACTCCGCCCTGCCGTCCTTCAACCCGCACCCTGGAGCAGCCCGCACACTGCAGTCAGCACCGCTCCCAGAGGGGTTTCCAGGAGCAGTGCTCCCCTCCCGTCACACAGCCCACTGGAGACTTCTCTGCACACCCCTTCCCGTCCTTTCTGACAGTGAAAGGGCCGCCCTCATGGCCAGCGTCCCTACTGTCGCAGTTTACACTCAGGCTCATCTCCAGCCCGCGTGCAGGCCTCTCCGCGGCCTGGGGCCACAGCAGGCTTCTGTCTGTGCACAGGCGTGGCTCTGCCCCGGGGTCTCCTCCGTCAACATGGACGGCCTGCTGTCCTTCACCTCTGGGCCTTTGCATGCGGTTCCCCCCTGACCTAGATCACCTCTGTCTGCCTGGCCATCTCCTCCTCATCCGAGACAGATCCTTGTCCTCTGAGCCTTTCTCTGCAGAGCATCTTCTGGTGGGGTCATGGGTATCCTCCATCACTTCAGAGCTGTCACCCCACACACCTGGTACACACGGTGACGATCAGAGAGCAGCCGTGACGGCCAGCAGGGAGGGTGGCTCTGCTGGCTCCTCTCTTTAGGACGGTGAGAGGTCGTGTGGCTCAGAGCTGGGCTGGTAGTACTTCTGCAAATGCTCTAAAGAAGGTATCAGAATTTTCATGTGAGACTCAGCAGTCTTAGTTTTCGACCCAATGCAGACACATCATGTGGTCTTGTTTGATTGAAACGCACAGTGAAATCATGACACAAAGGCAGGCCAATCCATTCCTTCATCACATGGAAAACCCACGTCATCATGGAAGGAAAATAACAGAGTTGTGAGATGTGAAAACAGAACCTGATCCCAGCCCCTAACTCACTACATCCGGTCTGCGACGGGACAGTGACCTGGTGATGCTGCTACATGCACCACATCCTGACCATGACAGGACGGTGCCCTGCTGATGCTGCTAAACATGGGGAGGGGGGCACAGATGCTCAGGGCACCTGCACAGACAGTGCCGCCCACAGTCCCGCAGGAGATCAAGGATGCCCTGGGGGCTGGATCCAAACCGCCTTGTCCCCCGTGAGAGACCTTGGGACCCACAGCCTGGACCTCGCCCTCGCTCTGGACTCAAGCCTCCAGAGTCACTGAGTCACAGCAGCCTCCTTGGTTTCCTGATGGAGGCTCCCAGCTGCCAGCCCCGTCCCTGGAGGCTTCTTTGTGGTCCAAGTCACCAGACACAGCCTGACCTTCCTTGTGGCCTGGCTCTCAGGGGTCCCATGATGGGGAGTCAGAGCCCCCACAGGCTTGTCATCTGAGGTATCAGCGCCGGCCCAGTGTGGCTCTGGCCAGTGGGCTGCATCCTCAGGGCTGAGGCCATGCTGGATAATGAGGAACTACCCAGCAGGGGCACCCCAAAGGACACACCAGTGCCCTGGAAACCGAGTCTGCTCTGTCAGGCACCCCAGCCTAACCTTCGGATTCACAGGCCCCTTGTGGTCTTCTTCCTGGCCAGTAATCATCCGCTCCTGTCCCTGGGTTCAGGGGGCTGCCTGCAGCGGTAGTTCCAGATGGTTTCCTTGTCTGTCACACCACTTCACCCTCTGCTCGAGTTGGACAGCATCTGGGCTGGGCATCCTGCAAGCTGCAGGAGCTGGGTCAGCCCCACTGACCATGGTCAGCACTGCCAGGCACAGGCACTTTGAACTTGGGCACTGGCATTTGCTTTAAAAGGTGGTGCAGGGAGTTTCTTCATTTATCTTTTGGGGGAAGGTGGAGGGAAGACTTCAGGTGGTGCTTTGAAAACATGTCCATTAATGCTCCTCACTCCCCAACCCCAACTGTGTCTGTCGATCCTGGCATTTTGGTTTTTCTCCTTTATTTTGTAAGCCAGTGTGTCCCATTCAGTAATCATAGCTTTACAGTCTTGCACAGCTAGTTCTTATTCTCATGCAGACCTTCGTGAGAAAGGAATGGTTACAGTGGAGCATTTTGAGGTGCATTTTGACAAAGTGCATTTTCACATAATGTGACCAGACAGGTGCATCCTGTTCAGGAGGGGTCAGTGTGAAATCATGAATTTTTACAGAAGTTTAAAATAGCTTCATACAACCCAAGCCTTTTGTTGCAGTTATTTACCAGGAGCAACCTACCACATCTTGCCCGGGGACAGGGCATTTAATCACCCGCTGCCCCACAAGCACTTGGTGGCTTGCGAGCCGGCTGTCAGGGGGCAATGAGGGTCACAGCCCTACCTTGCCCACCCAGCCCGGCTGTCCATTTTGCAGGAATCGAGCATTAGGCAGTTGTTTCTGAACCAGGATTGTACAGCTCATCCACAGCCTGGTTTCTGGTGGTCAGAGAACGTTCCTGTGGGCGGATGAATGCAGGTGACCCAGCCAGCCAGCACCCGCCGTGTTTTCATAGCCCACAGTTCACAGAGCAGCGTCCTGAACCTGCTGCTCCCTGGGTCTGAGTCTCAGCTTTTCTTGGGAGGCGGCCAGGCTGAGATGTGGCCTGACACTTTTGCCCACACCCACTGACCAACAGGCTGACCTCAGCCCTTCTCTCTGTCCCTTTCCAGGTCTGAGTCACTTGCTTAGAGGCTAGGAAGTCATCAGCTTGAAGGGGCAGACGTCATATTTCAAGACAGCTCATTAGCAAACTATAAAAACTGCTTTTGAAAACTCCAGTAAACCTCCAAGAGTGTGTCCCCCTGGAGAGTACTTTTCTTCTTGTTGCATTTCTCTCCCACAAGCTCTGATAGAACAAAATAATAGCAGCCATCACCATTTATGGAAATTTGCTCTATTTCTAATATTCAAAGAGCTTAAATTCCAATCTGCCACCAGTGGTGAAAAGCTAGAATCCGTGACTCACCAGTATTTTTTTCTTTTTGCAGCTTCTTTGATTGAGATGAGCCCTCTAGCATTGGTGAAATGGCAGCCATGCATTTACATCAGTTTTCATTATGCATTCTGATGCCATAGCCACAGAGTGCAGCCTCACCCCTCTCCCTCTGTCTTCTCATTGCACGGTCACCCAAATCCCCAGCACTGAGTTCGCACTGACAGGGTTGGTGCTGCGTGGCCTGGGGTCCTGGCTGGAGGGCAGGGCAGGGCGGGCCGGTGCAGCACCTGCTGCAAGGTTTGCCTCCCCCTCTCTTCCTGGTTCATCTGAAGCTCTGCTTCAGCCTCTGTAACCCCGCTTAACCTTGACTCCTCCCACACGAAGGGAAGGGTAACACAAAGCTCATCCAGACTCACCTTTGGAAAGCCTGGCTCTTTCCCTCCCCACCTGACGGGAACAGAGAAGGTATGTCAGGAGGCTGCACTTGCTCCCGCCCACGTCATCCAGAGCAGCCAAGAACCGCCCCAGAATCTGCAAACCATGTTTCCTCGGTCGGGCGTGTCGCAGTTGAAGTTCATAGGAACCTTGTTCCACTCACAGACGGCACCCCCGCAGCCCACCGGGCACCAAAGGTCTTTCACCCCCACGTCTTCATCTTTCTTTTTCCAAACAAGCTTTCACCATATTTCACAGTCGGGATGGTTCCAGCAAATCCCACTTCTGACGCTAACTGTGCCCAGCTCCTCGCGGCCAGCCCCGGGGCTGGTGGCTTCCTGAGGACTTGCAGCCTGTAGTCTTACGCAGATGAGACTTACTCCCGGGAAAGGGTACAGCATGACACCGCCCAGGCACACAGGGGCCAATCAGAGAGACCGGGCTCATTCCCATGGTCCCTCCCCCAAGGAAGCCCCACAGCAGTGAGTCAGGACGCGGCGGGGGGTGTCACCCATCAGGGATGCTCACCTGCCCGTGGAGTCCAGGTCGGGGTGGCTGCCCAGTGCCTGTGTGATGATGGCGGTCACTGAAATTCCAGACCCCCAGACAGACAGACAAGAGGGCTGAGGCCAGCCTGCTGGTCACTGGGTGTAGGCAAGGCTGCCAGACCACCGCCCCCTCCCCCACTGTTCACACTAAGGGCTCAGGCCTCTCTTAGAGTTCTGGGGACGTTTGTTAGTTGACAGGGTGGGAGCTCTTCACCAGTCAAGTTCTCAGACATCCTTAAAGGTCAGGTTTGCAGGTAAGCCTTTCTGAAGACAGCAGCCCCAGGCTGCTGTGTCCTCTCTTCTCTGCACAGTTGTGTAATCAAGAGAAAGATTTTTAAGGAGACATTTGCAGTTGTGGGTTTTTTTGTCCTCTGTCTTTGAAATCGAGTGTGTACTTTCACTGAGTTGGGCTGCCCTTGTGGCTTAGCTGGTAAAAAACCTTCCTGTAATGCAGGAGACCTGGGTTTGATCCCTGGGCTAGGAAGATCCCCTGGAGAAGGGAACGGCTACCAACTCCAGTATTCTGGCCTGGAGAATCCCATGGACTGCAGTCTATGGGATTGCAAAGAATTGGCCAAGACTGAGAGGCTTTCACGTCACTTTCCCGTTGGGGAGCACAGATCCCCAGGGGCACGGCCGCTGGGGTGACTGTGTCCGGGTCTGGAGACAGGGTAGCTGTAGGGGGTGTGCTTCCTGACAGGGCTTCCCACTTCACACACAAGGGGGCCACTTGTGTAAGGTCATGTGAAAGAACTAGTAGTACATTTGGAGTTAATACATTATGTAGTGAAAGTTATCCATGTAATCCATGGCCAGAAGTTAATGGAACTGTATGAATTCTCTAAATGTGCTTAAATTGCTCACTTAAACTCCAGGAAGTTAACCTTGGCATCTGTTTTTCTGTGTTGAAAACACTGACATCTCTCTGTAAATGTTTAATCTTAAGGTTGCAAATATAAACAAGCACAACTTGACTTTTACCCTCTGTGATTTGTTTGGGCTTGGATAAGGCTTGGTACTGACCTAGTCAGGAAGGTGAGAGGTGTGACTGTGGGTAAGGAAGCACTTGCTGCCGGTCTGTGGGCTGGTCTCCAGTCCTTTCTGGGTAGAGCCTCACATCTTCCCTACCCGGGGCAGAGCCCCTTCTCTACGACTCCTCCCACTCCATTTCTCATTTTGGAAGTTTCCTTGGGGGCTGCTGATGGAAGCTTATGTTACAGAAATTTAGGATTCAGTGCATAACATGCGCTCTCACAGTGTGACTTCTGCTCTTCTGACTGACCTCACAGCCAAGGCCTCAGTTCTGTGGCTCCCGCCTCCCTAGGCGCTGTCTTCTTCCTCCTGCACGTCTCCCCCTGAGCCCCACGCACAGACTCCATCCATTCTCCCCCCCTGGGTTGGAAGCAGGCTTCTGTCTTCTGGTTATTGGCCTCTGAGAAAGAGAGTGAGTTTTTAGACCATCCTTGAAACTGGTGTCTTTGACTTTGAATAACGTGTAGCATTTCAGTATCTGTTGGAATTTACATTTTCCAAGTTTTCAGTATTGAACTCAGGAAGAAGCAAGGCTCTGGATGCACAGAGCTGTCACCTCCTTCCTCTGCCTTTCTTCTGCCTCAGCCCCAGAGGAGCTGAACATGGCAACACATTTGTTTCTGTAAAAAATTCTTCTCCCAGAAAACCTACTGAGCAGAACCTTGTGGGCTGTGTGGTTAAGGAATGGGGGTTCTCGGGCATTTCTGGTGCAGCATCTTTGTTGGGAAGTTTACGGCTGGCATCTTTGGGTTTTTCTCCAGGTGTGTGTTCCCTCTTTGTCTCTCTCCCCCCTGGTTTATCGTATGATAGTTGACTGGAACCCACTCTGGTTGTCTTGCTGGGAGAATCCCATGCACAGAGGAGTCTGGCGGGCTACAGTCTATGGGGTCTCAAAGAGTTGGGCACACTCACGATTCTGTCTGTGATGTGTCTGTGGAAACTCTCCTCCTGTGCTCCCGTTGAGGACGAGGTTTGTGACTGGGAAAGATAGTTGCTGCTCCCCCAGTGCTCTGCGATCTCTGGGTGCTTGCCTCTCTCATTCTTAAATCGTCAGGAATTACCCCCTGCAGGGCTGTCACCCACCCCCCCCCCTCCACTCCACACACACACCCTTCTACTGACACCCCCACCCCACCACCACGGGCCCTCGTACCTGCTCAGAAGGCCCCCTGGAAGCTGGCCTAGTCCCGGGGATGTGAGAACAGGACAGCGGCCCCCAGACCCTGGCAGGCCTGTCCAAGCTGCAGGTGGCCTGCGCCTGTGGTGGGGAGGGATTATCACTGCCAGTGTGACCGTGACCTCGTCCCTGGGCAGTGCCTGCTCTGGCTGGACCTGTGACTGTCTGCTGTGGGCAAATCGATAATGTGTCTAATGCCCTGAAAATTTACTGGGCTTCTCCTGAATAATTTAATGCCTCTCTGTGAATAATGCTTGGTTTTTAGCTCTCACAAGCATGTAAGACAATGAATGGCTAGGTAGGATTTCTTTCTGCTTTTATTTCCAGGTTAAATGAGTTTTAGTGCCATCTCAGTGGAAAGATGAGTGGGCCCTGTTATTATCCTCAACATCAGGAAAGCCAGTCTCCATAAGGGTCTTGGAGAAATTCTGTTAACCCCGTGGGTTTCAGACCCAATTTCTTGGCAGAAGAATACGCCACCTTGATCATACCCACAGATAAAAAATTATAGGTGTCATATAGCCAGTAATAACTGTGATGTGTTGGAAATTTGTTGTGTTGCATGAAATTTCCTGAATAGTTTACTCAAGTTATTTAACCCTCAAAACCAAGGAAGAACTGGGGATTGGTGATTCTGCACCGGAATTTCAGAGCATCCGCACTTTGGATATTTGGGGTCACGTCGCTATGTGCCCTGGGACGTCCTGTGCCCTGTGGGGTGTTCAGAGGCCACACCCCCAGGCCCTTCCAGCCAGAGATGTCTTGAGACCCCTGTCCCTGTGTGGTTGTGACGAGGGGGGTCAACCCCGACTGACCAAGAACTGCTGACCTAAAGGGCAGGGAGAGGAGGGAAGCGCAGTTCAGAAAGGACGCTTGTGGACCCAGGCAAAGCTCGCTCCCTGAGGCCGAAGCCCTCCTGTGGATTTGTAGATGCAAGTGACTTCCTGCCAAGCCTGCGCGTGTCCCCAGAGGGGCTGTGATGTCTGAATGCCCTTTTCCATCACCAGCCTCCCTAGCCTATCAGTGACATCGGTAGCCTGATAAACCCCACCTAAGTAAAAGCAAGGGCAGAAGCAGGAATTGCCGGCCGCCGCCCCGCCCCTGGCCTGGCGAGCGTGTCGGGCCGGGAGGGGTCTGTCCGGCCCCAGTCTAGCCGTGGAGGAGGCGGCCCCCAGGGGCTCCTGGCCCCGCTGTCCAGCGACCGTCCGCCGCTGCCCCTGAAGGGCTGGGCGGCAGCGCCACCTGGTGGCCGCGGCGGGAGCGGAGCCGCGCTGCGCCGCCCGGGTCTGGAGCGGGGCCTCGGTGCCAGCCCCGCCCCCGCCCCCAGGCGAGCGCTCCTCTGAGAGGTGCCCTCGCTCCCGGGAGACTGCTTCCTCCCGGGGGGCTTCTGTCCTTGGAGTGGCGGCTTCCAGGGGCTACGGCAAACCTGCTCTATAGTAAGAAGCCTCGGGTACAGGCTTCCGCCGCATCCTGTCGGCCCGCTGTGCTGTGGAGAGGCCGCGCGGAGGTTTAGGGTTTGTCACACAAGATACGTGACCCTGGGCCCAGCCCAGTCTTGCAACTGTTGATAATTTGGAGGTGGAGCCCAGAGTCTTGCCTGCACGGCCCCTCCGTTCCACCTGCTCTGCCCTTGTTGTGCTTACAGGCTGGAGTGTCCACCGGGCCGTGCTCTGCTCCTGAGGGCCTCGATTCCTGAAAGCAGGCGGTGGCGGCGGTGCTGACCCCTGACCTGCGGTTGAAGGCCTCCTTATGTCCTGACTCTCGGCCCGGCCCACGGTGCTTTCCACCCCGGGTCACAGGTTGTGACGGGGGCCCCGTCGTCCTGTATGCACCCGCTCCGCCTGTCCTTCTGCCAGGGCCCGAGTCCAGGAAGGCCCCAAGTCTCCACTCCCTGCTCCCGCCCCCAGGGCCTTCCTGTCACCCAGCACCTCCTGTTACCCAGGCCCTCGGGAGGAGGCTTTGCCCTTATGTTCACAGCCCAGATCGTCTGTCCACCTGCTCTAACTACACTGTGCTCTGCCTGGACGGTTGTCCTGGAAAGGCTGGGGCCCTCAGGATGGTGGCACTCACGTGGTTTGTGAGCTGGTCACCGACTTCCCACCAGCACTGCTCAGGGTTGCTAGGGATATGATTTGCTTGGATTTAGGACTTTGAGTGCAAAGTTTCAGCCCTGAATCAAGTATATGGGGTGTCCTGACCCTTCTGGGGCTGTGATGCC